CTCCTATTTTTGGTATTTTCATGCAAATTCTTCTGCTAGTTGGGGTTTAGTCCAATTCTGTATCCTTCCCTTCAAGCCTCAGGGGTCCAAGATTATCTTCTGCATCTGTGTTAATTGGTTTCCCTTTTCTTTGTTGAAGAGGGTCTGTGCAATCCTTCTGCCTAGTCCGCCATCTTGCCGGAACCTCTCATTTTATGTCTTGACTGCTGCTTCTATGGGCATTAATTGTGGATACAAGTAAAATGAAATCCTTGACAGCTTCAATCTTTTCTCCATTTATCATGATGTTGTTTATTGATACAGTTGTGAGGATTTTTTGTTTTATGTTGAGGTATAATCCATACCAAAGACTATAGTCTTTGATCTTCATCAGTAAGTGCTTTAAGTTTCCTTCACTTTCAACAAGCAAAGTTGTATAATCTACATAACACATATTGTTAATGAGTCTTCCTCCAACCCTGAAGTTCCATCTGACATTGGCAATAGTATCCCTCATTCCACATCCTCTTCTGAATCTGGCTTGAATTTTTGGCATCGCTGTCATTGTAGTACTGCAACCATCTTTTAATTATGTTTAGCAAAATTTTACTCGCATGTGATACAAATGATATTGTTTGATAATTTCTACATTCTGTTGAATCACCTTTCTTTGGAATGGGCACAGGTATTCTCTTCTAGTCTGTTGGCCAGGTAGCTGTTTCCCAAATTTCTAGGCATAGATGAATGAGCACTTCCAGCACTGCATCCATTCATTGAAACATCTCAACTGGTATGCATTAATTCCTGGAGCCTTGTTTTTCACCAATGCTTTCAGTACAGCTTGGACTTCATCCTTCAATACCTTCAGTTCTAGATTGAATGCTACCTCCTGAAATTTTTGAACATCAAACAATTCTTTTTGGTACAGTGTCTCTGTGCATTCTTTCCATCATGTTTTGATGTTTCCTGTGTCATTCAATATTTTCCCTATAAAAACCAAACCAGACTCACTGCCATCGAGTTGGATCCAACTCATAGTGACCCCTCCTTGGGTTTCTGAGGTTATATCACTACGGAAGTAGATTGCCCAACTTTCCTTCTGGGGAGTGGCTGGTGGGTTTGAACCTTCAGCCTCTGGTTAGCAGTCAAATGCCTTAGGCATAGAACTCTTCAATATTGCAACTTGAGGCTTGAGTTTTTTTCTTCATTCTTTCACCCTCAGAAATATCAAGCATGTTCTTCCCATAGCTACTTTATGTTAAGAGCAAGTTTCAGCCTTTTCTGACATCCAATTTGGTGTTTTCTTTCTTTCCTGTTATTTTAATGACCTTCTGCTTTCTTCTTGTAGGATGTCCTTGATGTCACCCCACAACTCATCTGGCCTTCAGTCTTCATTGTTCAGTGCATCAGTTTTATTCTTGAAATGGTCTCTAAATTCAAGTAGGATATACTCAAGGTCATACTTTGGCTTTCATGGACTTACTATAATTTTCTTCAGTTTCAACTTGAAATTGCATATGAGCATTGATGATCTGTTCCACAGTTGGCCCCTGGCTTTATTCTGACTGATAGAACATTGGAGATTGCATGGTAGAATTTAGCAATACCAATGACCTATTCATTGGAAATACCTTTTCAACAACATAAATATAGACTATACATGTGCATCTTCCCAGGTAGAATACACAGGAATCAAATCAATTAAATTTGTAGAAAGAGATGACAGAGAAGCTCAATAGCATCAGTCTTCTTTACAGTAGCAGTTCTCTAATCTTAATATGCATCAGAATCACCTGGTGGACTTGTTAAAACACAAATTTCTCCCTCACCTCCCCCACACCATTTCTAATTCACAAGATTGGTGATGTTTTTGTTATGTGCCATCAAGTCAGGCCCGACTCATAACGACCCCTTCTTCAGTTTCTAAGGCAGTATCACTACAGAAATAGATTGAACAACCTTCCTTCCAAGGGGTGGCTGGTGGATTTGAACTGCCAGCCTTCTGGTTACCAGTCAAGTGCCTTAGGCACTATGCTACCAAAGGACCCAATAATTTGCATTTCTGAAAAATGTTGGCATTGATTTTTATTGAAGCTGCTGGTCTTGGGACCACATTTTGAAAACTACTCTTTATGGGTTTCTTTATGTTGGAGTTTCTGAAGAGAACAACAACAAAAAAAATGTATCTTTTCTTACTTTTGAAGGTTTCTTATTTCCCACAGAGACAGGTATAGGTAATATGCAAAAATCCACTGTGGTATTTCTTTTCACATGCTAGATATCTTAATCCATACAAAAGACCCAAATAGTAGTCAGTTCATACTTCTTTTATAAATGGAAACCTAAGGGTCCTAGTGTTAAAAAATTTGTCTAAGAGTATCAGAAAGAGGTAGAGTCAGAACTCAAACTCATCTCTGACCCCCAAGATGTATTTTCTTCTATACTTAGACATGTTTAACCTCCAATAAAAACTATTTTTGGTGCATCAGAAGGAGTCACAATATGTAACTTAGTTTTCAGTGAAGCTGCTCACTAATTTTCTTTCACTTGTGGGGAGGGTAGCTCAGTGAGGAGTTGCTCAGTAAAGAATTGCCACTGATGAAAGAAGCAAATTTTTCATATAGCCAAGAAGTGCCACGAATTTGGGGGACAGTTACCATTATGAGGAAGTGAAAAACACTTACTTCTTTCACAAACCACTGGCAAAAAGCTGAGGCAATCCACTCCCTGGCATGAATTCCACAGTCCATCCAAACGATCTTCTTGGAATTATTTGATGGTTGGCTGATCTGGAAGGGACATCAATGCTCCATTACCAATCATTTATTATCATAAACCACAGAGCCCAGTACAAAATTAACAGGTTTTATTCTTCTACCAGTAGCATGTTCAATGCATTCAACTATGACTGACGGCCACCACGTGTGTTGCAGAGGAGGGTTTTCAAGGTTGTGACCTTTAAGAAGCAGGCCTTTCTGTCAAAGTACCTCTGGTTTGCTTGAATAACCTCTCAGTTAGTAGTGGAGTGCTTAATGCTTCGTGTCACCAATGAACTTCTTGTTTCCTCTACAAATCCTCTTTTATACTCTGTGTTGCCTAGCAGGAGACAAGGATGATGACTGAGACACCCACCAATATGATCCTTTCTTCTGCCACACTTGCTCTCCTGCCATAGTTACCTTGGTTATTCTTGGACAAGTGTTGTCTACCTGTGTCACCCACTCATAGTCTGCACCCTAAATTATCCCCTCAAAAAACTCACCACTGAGGACTTCCAGAAAGATGGAGGAATAGACAGACAAGCTACACAGAGCCTCTTCAACAAAGAAAATTGACAGAGATACAGAAGATAATCCTGGAGCCCTGAGCTTTGAGAGGAAGTATACAGAAGTGGATTAGGCACTAACTAGAAGAAAAACCTGAACAAAAACTGAGTACGGAGATGGTTGGAACAGTGGACTGTCAGCTATTCTGATGGGATCAACAGTCTGAATATGTCCAAGTGGTGTCAGAACCTGAGAATTGACCTAAAGATCAGCCCTGGTCACCAAGGGCTGCAGGGATGACTGCGCTGGTGGCCTATGATTAGGAAGGGAAACAGCAAGGAGGGAGACAAACTGAGCTGTTGACTTTCTGCTGTCCAGAGGGTGCATCCACTTTGAATGTTTACAAGCAGCAGCCATTTTGGATATTTAAAGTGACCAAGGGCACAGCCATTTTGAGTCTTTACAAGTGGTGACCATTTTGGGTTTTTAAGTGACAGCATTGTCATTCAGATTCCAGGGACCTAAGAATAGGCTCTGTTTTCCAAGGATGGCAGGGACATATGGGAGGCTAACAACAGGAAAGGAGACAGGTGATGAATATATAAGTGGTGCCAACTAATGAATAGAGGAGCACAGCACAGTACCTTGCTTATGTTGATAACATATAAACAAAACAAAGAAAACAAAAATTATGGCAAGCCACGCCAACATACAGTCACCAATTAAATATAAACACAAAGACGTCACAATGCCTTATAGACAACAGAGCATCATAAGGTACACAAAGAAGCAAGATAAAGCAGGAGAAACAAGGGACCTGGATACAGACCCAAAACACATCCCTGAGGAAGATGCACGCAGCATTGGAACTTCCTGATAAGAAATTTGAAAGAATTATACTTAGGTATCTTCAATGAATTGAGAGGAAGATCAAGGAAAACACTGACAAAATTGAGGAAAACACAGAGAAAAACCCTAGAACAATTTCAAAGCATAATACAACAACAAAATGTCAAAATAAATGAAAAATTAGAAATGATACAAAATCTCCACATAGAAATCCATAAGATTAATACTTAATTTTCAGAAATAGAAAAGACATTGAAAGGCAAAGGAGTAAAACTGAATCAATGGAAGACAGAACTAGTGAGATTGAAGGCAAATATCTCAATACTTCTTTAGAAAGCAATCAATCAGAAAAAAAGACCAAAACAAAATGAAGAAAGCATAAGGGTCATGTGGGATACCATCAAAAGGACTAACTTACATGTAATCGGAATTCTAGAACAGGAAGAGACAAATAAAACTACATAAAAAATTGTTCAAGATTTGTTGGAAGAGAATTTTCCTGGTATGATGAAACATGAGAATATATCAACTCAAGAAGTCCAACGAACCCCAAACAGGACAGACCCCAAAAGAAAATTACAAAGACATATCATCATCGAACTCATCAAAACCAAAGACAAAGTAAGAATCCTGAAAGCAGCATGGGAAAAATGACGTTACCTACAAGAGGCAACCAATAAGACAAAGCTCAGATTTCTCAGCAGAAACGATGCAGGCAAGAAGACAATGGGATGGTATGTATAAAATCCTGAAAGAGAAAAATTTCCAAACAAGAATTATGTACCTGGCAAAATTGTCCCTCAAATATGATGGCAAAATTAGGAGATTTCAGATAAGCAAAAATTAAGGGAATTTGTTAAAAACAGGCCAACCTTCCAAGAGATGCTAAAGGAAATCCTTTGGACAGAGAAGCAACAAAAGCAAACAACAACTGACCGTGAATACACAGGATGACATAACCCAGAAACCAATCCAACTATGGAAGTATCCAAAGTAAATAAGCCTACAAGATTGTAAACAGGGAACCAGAGACATCAATTGACAAATGAAGACAACTACAAACCAAAAAGAGGGGAAAAAAAAGTCTGTAGTTACAGAACTTCTAGATGGTAGGGAAGTCAAGACAACTATAAGATAGAACAAACTTGAGAAGAAAATTGTAAGTCACAGGGTAACCTCAAAGAAAAATGATAAACCTTCACATCAAAATCTAAAAGAGAACTAGCACAAACATTTAGCAAATACTAAAACAATAGTGGGAGCTCTGGTAGCATAGTGCCTAAGGCCCTTGACTGCTAACCAGAAGGCTGGCGCTTCAAACCCACCAGCCACTCCTTGGAAGGAAGATGGGGCAATCTACTTCCATAGTGATACTGTCTTGGAAACCCAAGGAGGGGTCGCTATGAGTCGAGTCCCGCTCAACGGCACATAACAAAAACAAAACAATAGCAGTGAAGGAAGTGATAACACAATTCATAAACAAAATGAGCTCAGTACACAAAATTATATGGAACAAAAAAGTACATAACAAGAATGACAGCAACAAATTCATACTTGTCAATCATTATGTATCTGGCAAGGGTCTTATCTCTAAGACTTATAGAAAACTCCAACACCTCAACAGCAAAGGAATTAACAATCCAATTGAAAAGTAGGCAGAAGACATGATTAATCACTTCACCAAGGAAGATGTACAGGTGGCCAACAAATACATGAAGGCATACTCATGATCATTGGCCATCAGAGAGATGCAAATCAAAACAACAATGATATACCATCTTACCCCAGCACTGATGGCAAGGTTCAATGAGACAGAAAATAAATGCTGGGGGGATGTGGAGAGATTGGGACTCTCATACACTGCTGGTGGGACTGTGAAATGATACAACCACTGTGGAAAGCAGTATGGCAATTCCTTGGAAAGCTGGAATTGGAGATACTATTTGACCCAGTAATCCCATTACTAGGTACATATCCTAGAGAGGTGAGAGCCAGGACAGGAACAGATATATGCACACCCATGTTCACTGTAGCACTATTTACAACAGCAAAATGATGGAAACAACCTAAGTGCCCATCAATGGAAGATTGGATGACCAAACTATGGTACATACACACAATGGAATGTTATGCAGCACTAAAGAATAATGTAGAGTCTGGAAAACACCACATAACGTGGATGGACTTGGGGGACATTATGCTAAGCGAAATAAGTCAATCACAGAAGGGCAAATATAGTATCAGCTCCTTGTTGTGGAATGTCAAGCAAGGGAAGGTTTATATATGGACAGAAACTTTCTTTGTTGGTTGCCTGGGGTGGGAGGG